TCAGCTTCCCGATGCTCCACGTCTCTTGGGGATGGGGCGGCTTTGATGATTTAAAAAAGGGCCATGCTCTGTGTGTCTTCGCTGTTGTTCAAGAGGTTTATTTTAAAATTTTGCAATGAAATAATAATTTAGTTAATAGATAAATAATTGAATCCAGATGAATACATGAAATAATGCACCATAACTGCGGGTTTGATGATGCCAGGCTGGTTAGAAAACTGCAGGAATACTGATATTAGAAAAGCTTCAGCTCTGCCAGAAACAATCAAAACAAAAATGCTCTCAGTTTTATGGAGATTCAATTATTCAGGATTATTAAACTCAGAGCAACACAGATGAACTTTATTTAGGAATAATGCAGATTAAGCCAAAATAAGCTTATCTACAGTCTATTTGTTTTTATAAATCACCTATAAATCACCCGTTCATGTCTGTGTCTCTGTCTGTTTTGATCAGTTTCTCTCCTTTAAAACATAAAATAGCATCCATCTATTTGATCATTTTTAATCCCTCTCCAATGTTTGAATATCCGACCGTAACCAACCCTGTTTTACAGCCGATCCTTTAGAAATCAAGTAACTGGGAAAGTTGGCGAGCGACGTAGCTCACCTACTCTTACAATCAGAAAGCCACCCTGTGACCTTCTGCTGACCCCTAATGAGGCACCTAGCAGCAGCATGGGCCTGTGATTGTGGACGAGGAGCCCACAGCAGCCTTTGAAGCCGTTTGAGTGGGCTGCCTCTGACAGTGAGTGGCAGGCGTGGCGGCAACATGAAACAGAATAAAACATGGCTGCTGGCGGCGAGTCTCACCGGCTGGCTGGCCAGGCCTGCTCCCAGTCACGCTCCAGCTCTGCCCCACTCACACACTCATCCATACATGCCGCGTTTGATCAGAGCGCAGCGGCCGCGTCCTTCACCACAGAAACGTGTTGGTGAGCGGACGATGATGATGATGGCTGAGCAACAGCCACAAAGTCATCACAGTCGGCCTTCAACTTCTCAACCCTGCTTTGCTGCTGGTTCCCTCCTCCACGGTTTTATCATATCAGGCGAGCAGGACCGCTCCATACTTCCTGCTACATCAACGCCTGGACAGCAGAACCAGTGCGGGACAATGTTCTTCTCATGTTCCACCAGCAGTTCATCCAGATTCACTTTACTTTTTTGGTTCAATCTTCCTGAATAATTTATAAATCTAATCAACCATTAACCTTTGACCCCATTGGTCAAGTTCCAAACTGTTGGCAGAGATTTTATGTGATGGAAATAGGATCAGAACCAGTAAACTTAAAGGAACCAGTCTGACTGCAGAGGTTCTGTTTCTGGTTCCTTAGAGAACCTCTGAGAACAACCAGCAACATGGAGACCTAATCCATTTCCCTACTGATCTGCTCCCAACTAACACTAGAAATGTTGCACAAACTCAAGCTTCCTTTTTATTTTCTTTATGTGAAAAAAGGACATAAAGACAATTTCAGGTCAAACCTGGAAAGTTTACATAATTTTCTGAAAAAATTAATCCAGTGAAGATCTAGAGTGGTGCAGAATAAAAACCAACCAAAGGTTAGCATTAGCATCAGCACACCTTTCAAACAGTGAGTAATGAGAGAGGGAGACAGCG